CCTCCTCCTCCTCCTCAGCAGCCGCCGCCGCAGCAGCAGCATCACGAACTGACCTCGCTCTTCGAGTGCCCCGTCTGCTTCGACTATGTGCTGCCGCCCATCCTCCAGTGCCAGGCCGGGCACCTGGTCTGCAACCAATGCCGGCAGAAGCTGAGCCTCTGCCCCACGTGTCGGGGCTCCCTCACCCCCAGCATCCGGAATTTGGCCATGGAGAAGGTGGCCTCGGCCGTGCTCTTCCCCTGCAAGGTAAGGGGTTGGCAGGGGGACGGGGATGGCGGGGGGGGACGGGCAGCCGCCCATCCATCCGTGTCCCCCCCCCCGCCGCCATGCCCATCCCCTTGCCCTCCGTCTTCATGCTTTCCCAAAACCCCTCTCTGAGAAAAGCAGGGTGCCTCTCTCAAAAGAAAACCCCCCAAAAAACAGAGCCAAACTTTCCCTGTCCCCCCAAAAAACTCAGCCTCCTGGGGGACGCGGTTGTTGTGTTTGCACGCTGACGCGGAATCTCCCCGGTGGGTTTGTGCCTCGCCTGCGTCGGTGGTTTGGTACAGAAATATTGGCATTGACGGGAAGGCTTGAAGGAGCTGTCTAAGGTTGGTCCAACGTAGAGCAGGTTCGCTTGGGAGTTTGCAGAGAGTGGTGATTTCTCAGCATTTACAGTCATGCCTGTGCCAAAGATACCCAAGGAGTCTCCTCCCGTGGGACTCGACCAGGGGCACTGCAGGCAGCAAAGCTGGAGCTCTGCAGTTTCGTTTCCTGCTGGGCCATGTTTTGGTCTTTTGGTCCCTTTACTTCTTCCTCATCACGAGCACAGGAAGCTCTCGCCAGCCCTCAGTAGCCTCTGTCATGGTTCTGCAGGTTTCTAAAGCGAAACAGGGTGACGGCACTAATAATCCTTTCTGAGTCACTGGAAATCCCGCTCTAAATTTTGTCCCAGTACTTGGCATAACCACTAGATACAAAGGCTGGATCTTTTTTTTTCTCCCTCCTAGTTATCTTAGCCTGTGCCGATGCTCAGTCTCAAAATAGTGTTTTATGGAGGTAACAGAAATTCTGTCCATGTCTCTCAGCTCTCCGCAGCCTGCTTTCAAAAAGGCAGGGGCTGGTAAGCTCTCAGGTCAGTCGTTGCATCTGAACAAGGCTTTTTTCAAGTCTGTTCTGTCCCAGCACTATGTCACATATTCAGATTAAACATTTAAGTCTTTTTTTCAAGGGAGTTTTCTACCTAAAGGAACTAGGTGAGCGGCTCCAAAGCGCGCGCTGGCGGTCACCAGGCAGGCAGTTACGTACGTGCAGGCAATGCTGAGCGGGTCCTTTTTAGTCCTCCTGGAGCCCCTGGACGCTCGTACCTCTGTGATACCGAAAGTACTTTAAAACCACAGGCTGAAGTGATAGAGGGACAGATACAGAACTGCTGAAGCCATCTCTGATGTGGAATATGGAAAGAAAGTTTTAAAATAGAGGGTGTCCGTGCGAGGGGCAGAGCTGTGGTCAGGCTCGCGGTGGGACCGTGGAGCCGGAGCGGGTGCTGCTGGGCTCCAGGGTGGGCACGGTGAGTTTCCTGGGAAGAGCTGTGAGCAGGTGCTCGCCGCCTCTGCCTGGGAAAACCTGTCCTGGGCAGCGGCTTTCCCTGGCCAGCCCGTGGGAGCGTCGCTGAGCATGTGCAGGGAGAAACGGCTCCTCCGCAGTGAGTCCTCCACAGTGGCTCCCACAGCACGGCCCAGGTGGCAGCCAGAGCCCCGTCTGCCGCGGGGCCAGGGGGTGACAGGGTGGGGCAGCTGTCGGTGTCTCGCAGAGCTTTTGGTAGGTGGGACCATTTCACCGCTCACCCTCGAACGGGAATTACCCTTGCGGGGGCAATAACAGACACGGGTCCTCTCTGGTGGAGGCGGCAGCGAGCCGCCCAGCCGCGACCCAGCCCGAGCCCCGGGGAGTACAGACAGCCAGGGCACATTTTTCACCGAAACGCTGGCCTACTTCTCCTTTTCTAAAGTGTCTCGTCAGGCTCGTTGTGACAGCTGGCATTCCCTGTCCGTCCGAAACAGAGCATCCAGGCTGGAGCGGCTCCCTGGAGCCCTCCGCTGCACCGGGCACAGCTCTGCTCACCCCCGCACATCCCTACACCTTGCGGGTAAACAAAGCCTAGAGGGAAGGAAAAGCCTGCAGACCCTTCCCCGTAAAGGGAACTTAACAGACAAAGTGTGGGAGAAGGAAGAAAAAGCCTACAGACCCTTCCCTGTAAGGAGAAGACGAGATATTCCTGACTTTACCTGTCAGACGTTCCTTTACTCACTTGCTAACAGAAATGTTTCCTAAGCCCATAATTGATGGGACTGGCTCCTTCACTCCCTGAGGTTTCCTTTCTCCATGGGTGGAGGAGTAAGCACCAACAAAGAGAAGCATCTCTGAGAACACCCCCCACCCTGTGCGCCTCTGGGAGAACCAAGTAGCGATCCCTGGGTCGGTCGGGCCAGTTCTGGTTCAGGTGTAGCAGCTGTAAACACTTCTCCAGCTGGGTGTTCTCTAAACCACACGGCAGCTAGCACATGGCAACCACTTAAGAAAATGGCATTTCCAAAAATTCCTCCAAGCATCGCTCCCATGGTTGACATCGTGCTCTCCAAAGCCGAGCCCTGGAGCAGGAGGGATGCTGGTGGGGTTTGCAGTGGCTGACGCAAGCGCTGGGGGTCGGGCAGCTCAGCGTCTTGGCTGGGGGTGGGGGAGCGCTCTGTGACCCGGCGGCGTTCAGTGTGCTCTGTAACCCACGTGTGGGGCTGTGGTGTGGGGCTGTGCTGTCGGCGTGTCGCAGGCTGTGGGCTGGGCTCCTGCTGCCTCAGAGCTGGGTCTGGTTTCTTGGTGCGGTGCCTGCAGGCCAATTCAGAGCTGGGAGAGCTGGCGGGTGCCTCCGAACCAGCTGCACCTCGCAGCTGCCCCGTCTGACGCCAGCAGGATGTGGAGTGCCCCTGCGCTGTGCTGCCGCAGCCACACATCCCTTGGACCCCAAAACACGGCGCTCGCGGGGCCCCATGTCCCAGAGCGTGCCGCGGTGTGACCCGTGCGTCCTCCCTGTGTCCTCCCTGCACATCCACGTCCCCTCCTCAGGCAGCCAGAGGCTCCTTGCCGAGGTCTGAGTCAGTCCCTGTTCCTCTTCCCTCACGTCCGCCCTCTCTTTTTCCTGCTGTGAGCAGTTCCTGCTCTGCTGCTTTCACTGTCCCCAAGAGCTACACAGTGAAATTAGCACCTTAACACTTCCCACTCGTGCTCCTTGGGCCCGGACACAGCCACAGGCCGTCAGGGCTGTAGCTCTCAGCCAGAGATAGGACGGTCAGCGGCGCGCAGCGGGGAGGTGACCCGCCGTGCCCCATCGGGTGCTGCAGTCACTCGCCCTGTGTCGGGGCCTGGCTCTGGTCTGACTTGCCTGGGGTGTTCACCACGATAAGGGAACCTGACGTCAGGGGCTGGGCGGGAGAGAAAGTCAGAGCTCTAGAAAATGTGAAGGAACAAACAGACGGTGGTCTGTGTGGAGAAGGTCCCGCATGTCTAGAGACAGCGGGGAACGGTACTGGAAATAAATAGGACTGAGACACGACGGAGCTGACAGAAAGGGGATTTGGTGTTGCCTGTGGCTATGGCTGCTCTGAGGGTTGTTCTTAAAATGCTTTAAGAAAGAAATTACAGTTATTGCACCTCTGCACTTTAATGGGGCTTTGGAAAAAAATCTGTGGGAGGATTTAGATCTTATATTTTCAGTAACTTTAAAATGCCTTTTCGTGCTCTAAGCAATCTCCAGAAGATAAAGTGCATGTCATAAACACACTCAAACTCCTAATTAATGAGTGCCAAAAGGAATTAGTTGTTTTCTTTCATCTTTTAAATAAGTGCAAGTGGAAAATAATATAAAGGTGCTCTCTAGTTGTGAAGCTGACTTAATTTGGGTGTAAGTTCTTCCGTAACTTTGCGGTTTTGTCCAGTACTATGAAAGAAAATAAATGTTAGGATTTATTTCCTTTATATAGCCAATGGCTATGAAAGAAAATAAATCTTAGGAGCTGGGAGCTTCCCGAACAGACACCGGGATCCATTTTCACAGCAGTGGCATGAGGCACGCCGTGGCCCTTAGCCGCTAAGCTGGGCCTGGTGCCCTGGCTAGCTGAGCAGCGCAGGGTGGCAGGGGCGCTTCTCGATTTACCCGCTACACCCCAAGGCTGCGGGGAGAGGAGCTGCGAGTGCTCCCTGTGGGCAGTGGCAGGACCACGGTCCCTGTGCGCCCGTGAGCGTTAGCGGCGCCCTGCCGCGCTCCGCTGGCCTTCTGTGGTGGGACCCCACAGACAAAGATCTCTGTGCTTGAGCGACCTTGGCACGGCCGTGGAAGGGCCGTGGGACCAGCACTCCCCGTCTGCCCTCTGTAAAACTCCAGGCAGCTCCTGCTTGCATTTCAGTTTGTAATAGAATTTACCCCCAGCATAGACGGGCAAAACCAAACCAGCACTGAGGGAAGAATATCCAACAGCAAAGGCAGTGTTTGTGTACATGCTGGGAGCAGCCTGACTAGCAGCTCTGGGGAGAGCCTTTAGCAGTGTATGGCAGGGAAACGAAGGAAAAAAACAAACCCCAAAATAATCCCTCCCCAAAACTCCTTGCATAGGTACACCAGCGAATTAATCACCTATGTGATTAATTCAACCGAGCAGTAAGTTCTACTTACAATAAAGGAAATCACTTTTCTAGTTATTACAGGCATTCAAAAAATCTTAAGTACACGGGGCTTGATTTTTCAGGGGGTTGAACCCCTTTCTTACCAGTCTTCTAGGAGTGGTGGGGCTCTGCAGCTGGGAAGCCAGGACAGCCACCTCGCGTGACGAGTCTCCCAAGGTCCCTGAGCGCAGCCGTCCGTAGCTGGAGATGCTGCCACGTTTCTGAGCCTCCAGACGGTTCTACTCCTTTTGAAGAAAAGTGAATCCCATAAATTCATTGTAGCGCACTCTTTGTGCACTACGCTTTTCCACTACGCTTTGCTTTGTGGAAAAATCTTTCTGCACCTCGCAACCACCGCTTTGTATTTAAAAAGTGGAAGGCAGAGTGAGACTGTATACAAACTAACAAGTCCTAAACAATGCCAGACTAGTCACTTGAGGTTTCTTTAGGTGGGTGGTGGGGAACTGCTGTGTCCTGAGACCACTGCTGCTGCGCCATGGCTCAGGGAAGGCCTGGCAGGCTTCCCACGTAAGCAAACAACCTGGAAACAGAAACTGCACATTCAGGTTATTATTGTCTACAAACGTACTCCTGTATATTGCCCAGTGCTGCCTCTGCAGCCTCTTCAGAGCCTTTCTTTAATTAAAAATTCTAAAGATTTGAAGTAAATATACTAAACCTAAATAAGGCCATACTTGCTATTTGCAAGGCACAGCAGACTGATAAAGCCATGGGGTTTTCTTCTAATAAAAACGCGGTTTATTTTGTTTTTAACAGAACAGACGTCCCTCGCACACAGGGCTCTGCTCACACCACCCTGCCCGCTCGTGCCCAGCGCTCCTGTGCTCCACAGGGGCCTCGTCCCGGTGAGCGGTGGCGGCAGAGGCAGCGCCGCTGGCAGAGCAGGGTCCGTACGCGCGCTCCGGGCTCCTCACCGCTGCGAGCCTCGGGGAAGCAGAGGCTCCCTGTTTTCTGGGCTGGACCTCACCGTGCGTCCCGCGAGCACTGCCCAGGGTCGCTGCTGGACGGGGCTGAAGCATTCAGCCAATGCTCTGGAAGGCTGGGGGGACCTTAAAAGCGAGGACAGACATTTCAGAAAGCACTGGAGGAGGGAGAAGCATGAGAGGGCCTCAGGCCCCTGAGCACTGCTGACACAGGAGCAGGCAGGCCTCTTCTTCCCAGAAGCATTATTTGTATCTAAGGTGGAGGGAGAGTGCCAGTGAGAGTGGGAGGGACTGGGACCTGGCAGTCTATTCCCAGCTCTGCCAGATTTCCCATGCGGCTTCAGACAAGTTACTTTAATCCTGTATCCCTGCCTGCCTTGGTTTACAGGGTTGGTAATACTGGCCTGTCTCTGCTGAGCACTTTCAAGTTTAACTGATGTTTTCCAAAGGCTTTAGGACGCTAAGAGCTTTAGAAAGCTCTCCCATGCAAGTGAGGTTCCAGGCAGCACACACAGAGCGGCCGTCGTGGCAGAAACGCAGTGTGCAAAGTCACAGGTATGGTGATGAGCCCTGGGCTGACAGTTTCCTCTTAGGAAGGAGAATACAGTGCTAAACAAACGACTGTGAAAACAAGTACATGATACTTTCCAGCGTGGAATGCTAGAAATGGTGGGAAGGGCAATGCAAAAGCAGAAAAGAGCCAGGGCAGCCCAGGCGTTAGCGGCCCGCCCGCAGCCCTGGCTGCCCGTTGCGGGGACACGGCAGAGGCAGACAAGGTGCACAGGCCGAGCAGCTCAAGGCTGCACCCCAACCGTACACAGCAGAGACGGGGCAGGTCCGAGGGCTGCGATCCACAGAGGTGACTGACACCTGCCAAGCAGCACGAGGACAGCAGGTCGGGTTTTGCTGCTGAGCGTCTCCCAGCGCTGGGAGGGCGCCACACTGAGCGAAACCCGCAGAGAGGGGTTCAGGGGCACACAAGCCAGCACTTCTCACAGCCAAGGGCAGAGCCACCCCCCTTTGCTCCTCTTGCTTTTACACTCTCGGCTCTGTAGCCACCACTGGTCACTGCCACGCAGACGGCTGGTTTCGCCCCCTCAGCAGCTTGTGTTGTCGTAACCGGTTTTGTTCACACGTACCTGGGCCGCTGCGCTATGCGGCGGGGCAGCAGGCACAGCACACGGCGTGTTTGCCATGTTGGGGCTTCAGCCTTTGGCCGGAGGACACCTCGTTCCACTGCGACACCCTGAGTAAAGCCCTCAGCAAAGGATTAAGCAGTATGGGCAGACACATAAGGGAAGGCTCACGTTATTAACTCCCTGTGGCTTATAAAACAAGCTGCTCCAGAGGCGCAAGGTCAAGTTTCTGTCCCAGGGTTCCTCGTGCCACATTTGCAGCATGGGTGATTTGCATCTTGGGCATTTAACCCTCTGAGCTGAAACTTCTTGCACACGTATTAGCCCAGAAATAGTCATTTATACCTCAGTTATATCTGTCCTTCAGGAAGCGTCATAGCATCCGCGAGCAGCCACGCACGCACGTCATGACAGGGTCAGAGGTGTTGATGTGGCTACAGGTACCTACAGACCGGGAGTGTGCTCTCGGTGAGGACAGCAGGGACTTGTTTTCTCTGTAGGGGTAGTGTGAAAGCAGTAGCACAGTCAGTCGGGCAACTGCACTGACTGTAGGAAGAGCGTCCCCACTTGTTTGAAGCAAATTAACCTCCGAGTTGCCCAGTGACACCAAGAGAAGTTTGATGGTGCTTATTTGTGTGCTAGCATTGTGCTCGGTGAAAAAAACATCCTCTCTCTTTCCACTTCTCACAAGTGCAGTGTTGAAACTTTCCCAGTGTTTAAAAAAAGCTGGGGGGAGCCTGCCTTTGAATTTAATGGTAGTGCTTTTGCTCTGTGACGGTACTAAGACACATCTATTACAAACACTTCACTCTAGTAGCTGTTTGTTGAAAGTAGCATCCTTTTTTCTTTTTAAAGAAAAGAAAAATCCAAACCAGGACCACTTCAGCTGATCTGGACCAATCAGATCTAACTACAACAGCAAATCTAACTACAACTCAGCTTTACAATCCATTTTCTCTAAGTGCTTGCGTTAGAAAAAAAACACCACAAAAGACAAGAAGAATCCATTTTTAAGTGGAAACAAACATAAGTAAAGCCCAGCTCTGAATCCAGGGCTGAACAGAAGTATCTAATGTAAAATTTGCAGTGAGAGCAAGAGTTGTGGTTGGTCACCAGTGTCCAGTTGACAGGTGGGAGCAGCGTACGCTAGTGCTGGTGCCTTTCCTGACAGCTTGTATTTGGTCTCTTTCTAGTACGCCACAACAGGCTGCTCTCTGACACTCCACCACACAGAAAAGCCAGAGCATGAAGACGTCTGCGAGTACCGGCCCTACTCCTGCCCCTGCCCTGGTGCCTCCTGCAAGTGGCAGGGATCCCTGGAAGCCGTGATGTCCCACCTCATGCACGCCCACAAAAGCATCACCACCCTTCAGGGAGAAGACATCGTTTTTCTCGCCACAGACATTAACCTTCCGGGGGCGGTGGACTGGGTGATGATGCAGTCGTGCTTCGGCCACCACTTCATGCTAGTGCTGGAGAAACAAGAGAAGTATGAGGGTCACCAGCAGTTTTTTGCCATCGTGCTGCTCATCGGCACCCGTAAGCAAGCGGAGAACTTTGCGTACAGACTGGAGCTGAACGGCAACCGCCGCCGGCTGACCTGGGAGGCGACACCACGCTCCATCCACGACGGGGTGTCCGCAGCCATCCTCAACAGCGACTGCCTGGTTTTTGACACGGCGATAGCACACCTCTTTGCTGACAACGGAAACCTCGGCATTAACGTGACTATTTCTACGTGTTGTCCGTGACGTGTTTGCGTAGCTAGTGAAACCTGGGCAGTCTGGACAGAGTGCTTCACCTTCACCAAGGGTTTTCTTTCTGTTCTGTTTTTTTTAATGATATTCAACTATGTCATCGTGTATGCTAAGGTTCCTAACTAGCCAACATTTTTAACTTTGGAGAGAGGAACAAGAGTGTCCTGTAAGTCATACGAGTGGGAAAAAGTCTTTTTAAATTCTTGGGTGCCTTAGGAAGATTCCCCCCACAGTCACCTTTTTAAATTTAATTATGTTTTATTTAAAGAGTGCTTCCATTAGACATGTGGCTTAAGAGACCTGAAGGACTGCATTCCTGTTTGGAACACAGCCCTTTCAGCAGGAACACAGACTGTCTCTCTCATTGGTGAGCTTTAATAACAGTTTTTAATAGACAGGAAAGAAATCCAAGCAACCTCTCTCAAGAGAAGTTGTGACTCAAAGGGGAACAATAGGTACTTCAGTGCTGATAATCCATTTCCTGCTACCTTGTTAAAAAGGAGTGGGCATCGGATCATTTGCTGTTTTAAAAGAAAACAGGGGAGGAGGGGCTGGGGGAAGGCACGGCAGGTTTCAGGGAGCCCAGCACAGGGCGGGCAGAGGGGGGAGCAGGAGGCACAGCTCTCCCGCATCTCCAAGGCCAGAGCCAGTACTACAGAAACACACTCGAGCTGTCCACGCACAGCTGCCCTTGGAGACATACTTGACTATTGTAAGAGACTAATAATATAGCAAGAGCTTTATGGCCAGTGTCGCGTCAGTTGCTATTTAAGTTTTGTTGCCATATTTACTTTTATTTTGTAATAAATATTTTGCAAAAACTACACTGCATAGCAGTCACAGCGGCTTCCCGGTTGCTTTTTGGATGTGCTGGGCTTTCCCTGGGCAGGGGGCAGGGGCTGGCTGCCCTGGGCAAAGGGTAGGACCTGAGGGGAGCTGCCCCCGCCCAGCCCTGTTGCCGATGGGTGCTGGGGGTGGGTGCTTCCCAGCAGGGGAACCGGGTGGGGATTTGCGTCCCAGGGCCCACCGAGACAGCCCGACTCGTCTGTCACCGAAGCTGAATCTGCCTGCAGGTCCCTCTCTGCAACCAGAGCCTTCTGCCTGAATCGCTCAAGAAAACACCAGCTCACAGATGGCTTTGCTGAATATTGAGCTGTTTGCCTTTTGGAAGAGGCAGTGAGTTGTGAGGTGATAGAATCTGCTGAGTTACTCAGCGGTAGGAAGCCTCACAGTAGTGGAAAACTACATGTAAAGTGACAGGTGAAGCTTGGTGTGAATAAATGTAACATAGGGAGTAAAACCCATCCTAACGGCAGCCCTCCAGGGAAGAGCTCCTTGGAGTTACGCCAGTCCCACGCAAACCTCGCCCCGTGCCTGGTAGCTCTCCCCAGAGAAGCACACGAGAACGACAAGGAGCGCAGCAGCAAAGGGAGCTTGTTCTAGCCCTGAGAATTTGGAAGTGGCCATGGAAAAAAACCTCCCAAGGAATTACCGGTCTTTTCGTATCCAGTTCCTATGAAGATCCCACATTTGATCTCTGTCCGCCGTGCTGGCAGAATGCCAGTGGCATTAGCCAGTGAACTCATTTGCTCCTGCTTAAGCAGGATCAAAGTCGAGCTGGGGCTCTGGCAGGTGTTAAGACCAGTGCTTTCGGCAGAACTTGTTAAGCAAGAATTCCTACAGATTTGATTAATTTCCCCATGTTTCAGCAACATGAATATCAGAAGATAATTTTTCTTACTAACAGTTGGGGCATAAGAGGTTTTTGTGTAAAGCAAAACTCTGAAGCGTGTCTTTGATTATAGCGGGATTAATGAAATTAATTACTCCAATGTTGCCTATAACCCACATCAAGTAAGTTAACACACATTATTTCATTAGGTCTTTCCACTCAATTCAGCGCTAAAGGAATGGCAAACTTTGGTTATACCTCACAGCAAAAAAAACCAAAACCCAACACCCAGTATCTTTTCTAACTGAAACTGAATTCAAGACAAGGAATACCTCAGCTGGGACTGCCAAAAAGTGACGTGTTTCCTCTTCAGCTCAGGGAATGAACAGGTCACATTCGTTCCAGCACTCGAAGTGTTTCAGGTTTTCTTCCCTACGCAGCTGGGTCGACTTCCCGAGGGTGATGGCTGAGGGCTGGAGGCAGCAGAGGCTTGCAGGGCACCAGCACCTTGCCAAGGGAAGTAGCAGCACATCAGTAAATATGTGAAAGCTCCCCAAAATATTCAGAAAAAAGTTACTGAGGCCAGCCAGGTTTTCTTAACAAAACTCCCGACCACCCACAAAGCAACCCGACTTTGAAATGGAAGCGCACCCGGAGAAAACCCTGCCCAGGAGCCGGCAGCAGCCGGGGAGGCAGAGCAGGCCGGCCTCCCCGCCGCGGAGCTCGCCCCC